TATATAATGATATAGAATGTCCTTTTTTATCGATTTTAATCCGTCTTAAATATATCTTGAACAGTGCATTTTAAGGAAAAATGTTTCCCACAAAAGTTTTGAGACTTTGAGGGGTACATAAGATGATGCTATTGGTTTGCCTTGGGTGGCGTCGTCAAGGTCAAAGCAAGGCCACTTTGAATTTTTTAAATCTCCCATTTTATATTACATATTCTTGTAGCTTATTTTAAGAGCTTTCCAAAACACTATAATTAAGTTCATTTTCATTAAGTACTTTTCGAGTTATGAGGCTTGCAAGCACCGCCAACATTAGCATTACCCAAGCATTATCCAATTGACGGCAAAAATCTCTTGAATGTTGTTCATGACCTGGATAATATGTCAAGATCATTGCAGATTGTTCCTTTTATTTTTGCAAAAATTCATTTCTACATAAAAATAAAAATAAAAAGAGGTACAACCAATGACTTTGAACTTGATAAATATTATTCAGAACATGATCCTGAACAATATTTAAGAGGTTTTAACTGTCGGTCAGGCACCTTGCATAATGCTAATGCCTGTAGTATTGTAACTTGCAAGCCTTATAACTCGAAAACTTAATTAAATTAACTTAATTATAGTGTTTTTAATTATAGGAAAGTTCTCGAAATAAGCTACAAGAATACATAATAATATAGGGAGTCTCATTAAAAAAATTCAAACTTTGCTCTGATCTTGACGACGCTATCTAAGGTCAACCAATGGCACCATCTTATATACTCCTCAAAATCGCAAAACTTTTGTCGTTTTGTTTTTCTTTAAAATGTTCAAGAGATATTTGAGGTGATCGATTAAAATGAGACACCCTATATAATATCGAAGAAAAAGAGAAGCTTTATAATTAAACAAGTTTATATTTCAGTTCCCAGCAAATTGCATCTTTGAATATCTACACAGTTATGTTCATCCGGATGAGACAACATAGGGCATAATTGTGGGATTGAATGAACTTATCTGGGAAGTTTAATCCTGATTATGCTCGTGGTTTCATCTGGATGGACCATCCATCCTTTATTTCTTCCTACTCTAGAGCGATTTGCCTCAAATACTTCGAATGTATGACATGGCGATGCGCTTGCGGCGTCTGAGAGCGCTGGTGAGCGCGTGAGGCAAGACGATATATGAATAATGTCGCGCACGGTGCGTAGATCAGTTTTTGATTTTGGCAGTTTTTTTAAATTCTGTTGGAAAGGTGCGTGAAGGAGCACGACTATACAGTTGTGTCCATATCCGAACGAGACCACGGCATAATCAGGATTGACGAACTTCCCAAATAAGTTCGTTCAATTCCCACAATTGAAATTAAGAAAGTTGCTCAATTACACTATGAATTATATCCAACAGCAGATAAGATAGAGATTAAGAATATTGGATTGCTAGAACCATACATAACAACAATTATTGAATACGCACTTACACATTTTAATTGTGCTGTGTTTGTACTTTTTGTAACTTATTATTTGTACATATATATTTGATGAGGTTAGTCACGTGACTGAAAGCGTGACCGGCAGCTTATTGGTTGAGATTGAGATTGAAGATTGGAAAAATAGACGGAGTTCTATATTTCAATTTGCAATCTCGGTCTATTCTGTTTTTATTGGTCGAGCTTCAATCTTAGTACTAGAGTCTCAATCTTAATCTTACTCTCAATTTTCAATGCATAGTCTGATTACGGCTTATCATAGATGTTTTCTTAATACGAAAGTTTTTATAATTCGTATGGACCAAATGACAATGCAGCACAAAACGTATTGCACACACGACAATATTGCACACAGCGTATTGCACACATGACAATATTGCACGCAACACATTGCATACACGACAATATTGCACACACAATAGTATTGCACATGATGCTATTAATTGGCCCAGTTTACATCGTGCATTTGATACGCGTATTAATTAGTAACTTTTTATTAAATTATTTTACTTTTAGCGATGTATTTAAAGAATGATGTACTAAATTGGTACAATATGCATCAAAATGATTATTTAAATACACATATTATGTATATGTTTACACATTATCGCCGAAATTAAGATAATTTAATAAAAAATTACTAATTAGTATAATCAAGTGCATGATGTAAACTGGACCAATAGCGTCGTACGTGCAATATGCTGTGTGCAATATTACTGTGTATAAAACGAAGCCGTAGGTAATCGTTTTGTAAGCAAATGTGATCCTCCTTACAAATGATAGTCATTATACGATTAGTAGTTTAATAAAGGTTAAAATCTTTCGCTCTATTTTCGTCTAAATTGTACTATGACTGTACTATGATGTGTATACGAACGTTGAGCGAAGACTTCGAAACGATAAACAATAATTGTGTCTAGCAGTAGATTCGATTTTCCAAGAGATGGCGTTGCAATATGTTAAATAAGGACAGATGAATGCGTTTGAGTGAGACACAACATGCTTGTAATAATATAAGAAATGAATGAAAGATGTCATTATTATCCAATTTGGAATTAAAAAAAAGTCTACCTCGATCAAGTTCAGCCGTCGCTCCAATATCCCCTTAATCATCACATGAACAAGTTAGTTTAGTACTTTTTGAATAGAAAAACTGTAAAAGATACTTAAAGCTTGAATTTTAATGTATATGTTAATATAGCCGAGCAACAATGCATAAAGACGCGATCTGTCTAGTCTCGTTTATCACGCGAATAAACTTGCCATATTAAAATAATAATGGCAGTTGTCGGCCGTCACTTACGTATTACGACGTATTACCGTATTATGTGACGACTAAGTGAAATGATCGCCAGTTCGATCATCCGCCGAGCAACTCGAAACGATTGTCTCATTCGAATGCGCGATTTTGCTTAACGATGATCATTCCATTAATCGATTCGTCGTAGCTCATTCAATAACCTCGGTGGTTCGTATCACGCACATGATCGTAATTTACTGGCCGTGATTTCGACAAACCGTTCCAGGTCGTCGCGGCAGCACAAAGCCACTTTGACGCGGCCGTCGTTTCGCATTTGCAGTCTATTCCGTGTTCATTTCGCTAACGACTCGTTTTATAAGCATAATAAGCGATAAGCTCTGCGATTTGCACCGCGTCGAGCAAGCGCGACCTTGCGTTCTTCGACGCTGATTACTGCAGCCTAACACGCAAGAACAAGAAATTTTCGAACTTTTACGATGTTCTTCTTTTACTGGAACTAATTACTTGTTTTTTTATCATGCAATGTTGGCTTATAAAGATAGCGGTTATACTTCTGTATCGTATTTTTAATAAGCAACAATCATGTTTACTTTAATTCTTAATTCGACGAGGCTACATCGATTTACACGATATTAATTTAATGTTAAGTTCTCTAGAGGCGAGTATTATATATTTTTAACGTTTCTTTAAAATTAAATCAAATATAAGTAAGTTTAATTAAATCGAATATAAGTTGCATATAAACGTTTCTGCGAGACAGAAGTTTCAAACAGATTGCATAATTTGCGGATTAATGAAGTAAATGTATTGAATTCATTAATTCTGTTGTGAGTTAATATTATTCTTGTAAATCCCATTTCTCTGTATATTATGTTTTTGATAGTTTTATTCGTTGCATATTTTACACTTTACTGAATTGAATTATGAAATTGTATTCTAATCTGACAACTTTTATTTTATAAATAATTTAGTATTTTGTTTTTTCAGGATTTACTGTCGAGTTTTGATCATCATTTATCTGCCGATAGGAAGTATCTATTGCTCGCTCTCAACTACCAGAAGGTGAGTTTTGCTTTTAAATTTGTAAAAATGATGAAACGAGATAATGGAAAACGCGCGCATTATCGTCACATTAATACCAAGTAGAAAAAAAATGTAATTGTACAATAAAACGCGGACACCATGATATATTAAATTATATTAATTAAAATTATGAATCTGCGAATCTTTGACGTGATGATAATTACTATGCTGATGACGCAGCTTTTCTTCAAAACATATGCATGCAAATGAGGATTACAGCAGCGCAATGTAATTGTCCCCCAATTCAACCTTACGAATAGGCAATTTCTGACTTTGCATGTCTGATCAGGTAATAAACTCAACGATAGACTATGAGTTTCAACTCTTCATATTTTTAGAAAATATTTGTACAGTTGTGTCTTCATAACAAATTACAGATAAATTATTATAACTAAATACAATTAATATGAAAAAATGCACTGTTTTATACAAAAATATAAAATTCTGAAAATGTTTAAAAAAAATATGTTTCAATATCTTAAAATTGACATTTCAAACTACAAAAAAAAATAGTTCAAGTGTCGACTATCCAAGAAGTTTAATTATTGAGTAACCTAAAAATAATGTTTTTTTAATGTGCACGAATGGCTGTAAATTGAAGATATATTGCATCTTAAACAATGCCAAAATACAAATTTTTTTATCACTATTGTGTTAAAAAACTTTTAATTTATTAGGAAAATGTTCTTTATAACATTACAGACAACATAATATATAATATATAATATTACTAACAACATTAGCAAGGTTACCAAAAATCATGTTTATTAAGAGCTAATATGTTGTTCTAAAGTTAAATTTTTTTTTAATACAATAATTCGCGACATATTCTTGCAATACAACCGAGAAGTTGAAAATAAAGAAAAAAATAAAATTTTTTAATTATAAAAAATGTTTGTACATACATTGGGTCATGTGTGAACCAATTCAACTTTGGAGTTATGCCAATTAAAGGATACACACGAATTGAGAATGGCAACGCACAAAACTAAATTCCAGGCTTTTTTAGAAATAGAAAAGAGATCGGTATTTGACCAGGTGCTCTTAGTATTTCAAAGAAAAGAAATGGACACGAATGACCCAAAGGTATGTTAAGAATTAATATTAATGTTAATGAAGGGACGCTTTTTTGTGTAACAATAATTCTTTCTTTTCAAATAAATGGCAAGTTAATTTATGTCTCGGTTCAATAAATGTTGAAGAAAGAAAATAATTAACAAATTCATTGTCTTATTATTTTTTTTCTTTGAAAACGTATTCTGAACATTTTTTATACTACTTTTTTTACGAAATAAGCCATTCAATTTTAATATTGGCAATTTTATGTGTTTAATGAGAAATATTAAAGAGTTGATACTTATTGAAATAATAATGCCCTAATATTTTAATTGAAAATATACAGAGAGAATGATTTTATATATAAGTGTGCTGGAATATCTAAATTTAAAAAATTTAGTTAAATACAGATTTGAAAATAATTTTGTTAGATCATTAAAACAATTATGTAGGAAACTCAAACATAATGAGCAGTGCTACAAAAAAATTTTAATATTTTAGCAATCAACTTGAGTGTCATATATAATTATTTTGATTTTAATTCAACAAAACTATTTTAGTTTTGTATTTAGCTAAATTTTTTGATGCTTCAATACTGTTTTTCCCGTAGATTATTGTTATTGGATATATTTGATGACTTAAATACCAAATCATATTAATTCTATGAATTCAAAATTTTAATCAAGCGTATTTTGTAAACTAAAATTTAAAAATATAAGTAGATATTCTACGGCTATATCAGAATAAGTTTTGCTTTATGTTATAAACATGAATGAAATTTTCGAGAGAATAAATATAGAATTGCATAGTGAGATAATCACGAAAACAAGGTATGTAAGACTATCCGGAAGTTAACTGTATTGCCGAACGGAATGACTGCGATAAACATTAGATTCTCCCAACTCATATCTTCACCTCTGTTCTTCGTCACTCGGTGAACTCGTTCGTCAGGTGGTTTGACTGTACGTCGGTAGGAAACTACTTAAACTTCCAAAGACTAGTAATTATAAGGAGCTTGAGTTGAGAAACTCTCTGAAACTGTGCACCCATATCTGAGCGAATGAATTCGGATAAGGTTAAATGAATTAAGGTCAGATCGCGTAGTAGTCAAAGTAGTGCAAAGTTCGTTGAATCCGATAACACGCAGGATTCATTAAAAATAATATTTCGAGCATTATTGGAATGAACATACATATATTTCCATACTGAGAAACATAGTTTGATTGTAACAACAAAATGTATATGGTTAAATGCATTTTAGTTAAATCTAGCAAAATTTTTGGTTATTATAACAAGATGCGAGATTTTAATTAGAACGTTCGATAGCTTATACTATAAGGATTTGTTTAATATTTTTCAGTTGATTTATAAAATTTCTAATTATATTTACTAGACATACGCAACATTACCAGAATTCTGGTTAAGAGTATCCTAGCAGTTTTATTATTGTGCAAATCGGCGAATACTGTATTGCTTTGTATTGCATATATCGTATAATCATGTTATCGTGCATGTTGTATCCTGTACTGAAGTGAAATTCACTATAGTGAAATAATTAAAGGAAGTTCAACTGAATGAAAGTTCAATTGAACTAATTGTAAGTCGTACTGTGAGTTATCCGAACAGATTAGAAATTTGAAAAGGGCAGAGATGGATCCAGAAGTCAAGGCGGAGTCATTGACACGCTGCAAACGAAGGTCTTTCAAGATCAAATATGAAATATAAAATATTTAAATTACTATTGGTATATTACATTGAAAAAGTACTATATAATTATATAATCCAGGAAATGTTTTTATTTAAAATTATATAGTATTGGCGGATCCAGACACTTGTCAAGAAGAGGGAGATGCTATTGGCGGATTCATTTTAGAGTTGATTTTTGGATTAGCGGGTTTCTGAAATATGCGCCAATTGTAACGAATGAATAACAAAGAAATAGGAAAATTTAATTACTTTACATCATTTTCATATCTTTTCGTTCTTATTATTAAATTTGCGCGCTGCAAGCGAAATTTTTTTTAAGCTTAAATATGGAGAGATAGATTGTTTGAATTATCATTAGCATTACATTGAAAAAATATTATGTAAATATTTAATTCATAAAACATTTTATTTAAAATTATATCAGCAAAAAAAAATAATATATAGGTATAACATTTTAGATGTTAATCAAAACAATAGGAGCTAAAATTCCTTTGTCTTCATTGATCAAATTTCAATTTTCAATCTTCAATCTCAATCTTCAATGCGTCTGATTCCGGCCTACAATAATATATCTAATATACATCTTGTATTTCTGATAAACCTGTTCAACTGTTTCTTTAACAATTTCTGTTTTGTATGTAACAACGCAAACTCCAAAAGTTTCTTTCTATTTATACGATTTCTTAATCAAATTTTCAAAACAGCTAAACAGCTGAAAAACTTTGTTTAGCAGGAGCGACACTTATCGGCAGGCAGTAATATTTTATTGTAAGTAATCTTGCAATTAGTGATTTTCGCTTAACACTGCATAACACGGTATCTACAATAAAGCAATAAGCCTTAAACCGCAAGAATCTAAGAGTTTCTTAAATTAAAGAATATTTTTGGAATATCAAAATTGTGATTAAGCATTTTAGAAATATTAAAAATATATGTAACATTTTAATTTTTAAAAAGGAAACTCCAAGAGAGGAATCATGATTGCCATGCTCTCCCCCCCCTTCCCCTTCATGGATCCGCCATTAGAAAGGGATTAAAAAGAAAAGGAAATGGAACGAAGTTATATATGGGAAGGTTTTGCAAGTTTTTAATATAAAATTTAAACAAAAAATCGACATTTATAACAATTTATTCAATCAACAATGTATTGACCGTCTTGATCTACAACATATTACCAACGCTTCGATAGGATCTTGATGTTGCTCTCATAAAATCCTTAGGATTTGTGAACGAAAAAATCAGCGAGGTGATTTCGGATCTTTATTAAGTTGAATCGTTGACATTGTTTTGCAGCGAGCGAAACAAGTGGTAATCGGACAGTGCAAGGTCCGGTGAATATGGTGAGTGCTAGATCATTTCTTAAGCCAAAGCTCTGCAATTTTTTTTTCATGATAAAAGAAGTGTGTGGTCGGGCATTGTCATGATAAAAGACTACACCATTTCTATTTGCCTGCTACCTTGTGCAATTTGCTGGACGCAGTACTTTTTTGAATCTATCATTTGGCCCTGCGGGAGCAGGGGTTTCGAAAAACAGCAAAACTTCTTTGTAATCCTACCAAATGCTGAACATGCTGTGCACCTTCTGTGCACATCAAGTTTCGCTACCGTGAAGACTTGTCCGGACCACACCATGACTTCTGCTGCTTGATGTTGTAGACATTCATTTCTCGATTCCAGTGATGATCCGTTTCAGAAATGGGTCTAAAGAATTTTGTTTCAGGAGAGACTCACACCAAATTCCGGTCCATGATGTTCTTTTCGATCGTGACATCAGTCTTTTTCATCACGTCAAGCTTTTTCAATCGGTCCGCACGGTTATATGATGAATGTCGAAGCGCTCCGCATGGTTATATAATGAATGCCGAAGCGCTCCGCAATCTCTCGAGTCGTTAAGTGCCGATCACTCTTTACTGCAGCCAGGAGTTGGTTGTCGTTAGCAGCATTTTACTATCCAAAGCGTAATGCATTTTGGAGATTAAATTCTCCAGAAAGAAAGCGGGCAAATCATCTTTCGCATGTGTTCGCGCTTAAGGCATCATACACATCACATATTTCGCGCTTAGTGTCCGCCACTTTATGGCTTTTACGGAATAAAAACAGTAAAATATGATGAAAATGCAATTTTTGCTCTTCCATCTTACTTGTACCTGCAAGACGTACCTTCCGATCAAAACATACACTTCTGCCAAATGTCAAACGTAGTGTGACTTGTCAAA